GTGCATTAACATGGGAGGGCAGGCAGTGGACTTTTCAAGTCTTGCCTCAGAGGTATGTGCATTTGCATTTGCCTACCTTTTGTCATAACCTGGTGGTGCCTGACTTAGCAGATTGGAACAAATGGTCTACTGTCAAAATGTACCACTACATCAACAATCTGATGTTAACATCTGACTCAATAAAGGCATTAGAGAAGGCAGTAACTTCACTAACTGTCATTTACAGGAAAAAAGGGTGGGCTATAAACCTGTGGAAAGTACAAGGATCAGGGCTGTCAGTCAGCTTTCTTGGTGTTGTCTAGTTGGGTCTTATCCAGAGATAAGGTTCAAGTGTTCCCAGTTCCCATGACACCAAAACAGTTGCAGGAGTTTTGGGGTATAGTATTACAGAGTCTTTATGACCATCAATATTTAAGGTAATTGTTATTCATCATAGAATCACAGAATGTAATTGTGGTGTTTTGATCAGATTTTATTTCTCAGTAATTACATTTTATCCTCCTAAATTACTCATTCATTTGGAAACAAATGGTAACAGTCTTTCCTAATACACCCCAATTGCAGTGTCCTGTTAGATTGTTGCTAGGTTTCAGTAGGGGTGGCTGTATGACTGCCCTGGATAAACAGATACCTACATATTGTTGTAAATGTATTAATTTATTAGAGCAAGCACTTCGGACTGTTCAGAAATCAGAAATGCTACTAATACACACGGTTGCTCCACAGCGGTGGAAAACATTTTGTGAAGGAGACCAACTACAAACAGCCATGTCAAAAAATATGTCCTAAGGCTTATTATTAATGTATCAGCTAGCAGAAATCACTCCACTGACCTCAATGAAACCACGGTGAATTTATAGTGTGAATATAGCTATGTAAGCTACATATTCCTTTATCACCGTGCAATGGAAAAATGCATTCAAAAGGATAGGATATTGCATTAGCATAATATCTGAGGAAGTCTGCAGCTCACAAAATTAAGTGCAAAGAATTCCATGAAAAAAGTAACTTCCTCATCTTTCATTTATTTCAAGTGCTTTGATCTTTAGGTTTTTAATTAAATAACTTTTCTGACTCCATTGACACTTTTAAAACATAATGTTTTTACCTGTAGGTAGAGGATTGTCCAGTCCCAGATATATAAATAAACATCATTTCAGATTTTTTTGCAAACTTATGCCTAATTTTGTAGTGCAAGCACAGATGGTGTAAAAGGACCAAACTATATTTGCATAGGAGTGAAAAATGTCTGTAAAACAATGTTAGTTTTAAAATAACACAGACTGGATTCAGAGTGGGGTGAAATTATAACATAGCTCAAGATACGAAACAGGATTCCAGTAACACAACATGCGAGGACCTTTTGTCTGCTGGCTGGTATCACATCCTGAAATGAGCTTTTGTACAAGATTTCTTAGAAGAGACTTCAATAAGGCCTTAATATATATGGAACAATAGCAGGATATGGCCTCTAACTGGTAGGAACAATTACTGTTCTCAGACATGCAAGTTAGCTTTATTGGATTTGGTGAGCACTTTCTGGCCTAGATACAGAGCTGCATCTAATTTCTCATGGGCACAGCTGTGACACAATGAGCCTACTAAAGAACAGCAACTATTCTGTCCAAGCAGAATATACTGAGGAAAACTCACATGAGCCTCAAGAGTGTGATAAACCAGCTTGGGAATAATGTGAAAAAGCAAACCAGGCTAAACCACTTTTTTCCTAGCTACACCCATAATGCCTTGGAGGCTGTAGTGCAAGGGACGAGTCGTCTAGACAGTCTCCACAATGGGTGGGAACTCCTCAGACCAAAGGAATTCTCAGCATGTAAATCTTCCAGTTTCATGGCAGAGCCATCCAAAAAAAGATTGTTATGATGGAAAGATACAAAGATAGAATTTACCCTCTGAATTTTGGAGAATGTAAGTAGAGACTCCTCTCCTCCACAGTAAAGCTAACAACTTCATAGAGATTCTGGCTGCATGCACAGTACAGAAAAAAAGAAAAACAAAACCAAAAAACGGTGGTATAATGTTTCCTTTAGTTCTAAGAAAGTGGAAAATGATATATTTGGAAAAGAGGACTTTCCATTTCCCTTTCTTTCAAATCCCTAACCCTGACTTTTCCACAGTCTTAAGTATAAACTACTTCCGCATCAAGGCTCCCTTGTCATTCATCTCTTTCCTCCACTGGTCTTTATCACATGCATTTAAAATTCAAACACTTGAAGTATAATTTCTGTCAGTTTTCCCCTACCTATGTGCCGTGCCCTGTTAGGCTGCATATTCTCATTTCCAACAATACTGAAAAGTTGCCCGGAGCTCGTAACTCTCAGATTTGTACAGTCCCCCCAAAATAGACCAGCACAGATTTTTGTGTCATCCTCTGATAAACCAGATGGGAGAACTGAGAGACAATCAAGGGAAAAGAATAATTGTTTGTCAGCTTGATCCTCTGCCTCACATCTGTGCAAACACCTGCATGAACACAGAAGAATGGGTGGGACAGGAAAAAGAACAATCAGCTGAGGTAGAGCTACTTAAATCAACATTACTACTGCTGCAGAAATGCATCTGGAACCGCAGCTTAAATGTGCTATTTTAAGGACTCTTTTAAATCTCTCACCTGTCACAGTCCCTATTAAAAGAATTGATACTAATAGGGCAAGGATTATATCACTACTGCTTACAATGCAGCCCAATTTTGGCTCATTGTTTCCTTGTTCTCATTGTTCTTGTTTGTAATTGCATTACAAGACACTCAGAACACTAATCATCTTTTGGCCTATATGAAAAATACCTGACTCCCCTATAGTCAGTGCCAGTTTCATCACGGATTCCAAAAGGGTTGGACCTTTGGAATTAGACCAGTTGGACAAGCCAGTCTGTTTTGTTGTTGTTGTCTAATGGAGATCTTTCAGAGCAGCTTTGGACCACTGAGAAATACCTTTTTGCAAGCAGTTTTACTATTCTTATCACCATGACCTTAAAAGTGCTTAACAAGAATCGTGGGATGTGATTTTTAATTAAAAAATAATTGAAATCTCTTACTTGTAACAGGTGGCAATTCTAAAGTCACTCGGACTTTATTGCTCACCTCATGTTCTAACAGCCAGACTGAAGGAAGAGCTCCTCACACCTAATCTACACCGATGTAATTGCACTACCACATAGACACCCCTTGTACTGCTAAAAGAATTTTTTATACTGAACTCACTCAGTGCATTTGGCTTTACATGGGGCACAGCACACCCATCAATCACCTGGAAAAAATGTGCTAGAGTTAGCAGAATACAAAAGTACTGTATAAATGAAGGAACTCAACGCACTCAGGTTCCTTGTATTAAGACCAGTAAAGGAACTCGAGCTTTAACTGAAGCAAAGGGCCAATGAAACAGATGTTGCAATTAACCAAATTCATCTAATTCAAAGGATAAACTCTTACCCATATATAAACCGAATAATTCAACTGAGCTCTGAAAATTGTTTTGTAAATCTACAGAGTTCTTTTGACTTTGAGATACTGATGAAAGTTTTGGACAACAGAGCTGTGTCTTCCTGACTCCCCTGAACAATAATTTCTACATTTGTGTTCACATATTTGCTTCTGTCTCAGCAAAAGGTAAATTTGTATGTATTGCATTGCAGTGAGGGAAAACAAGAATACAACTTGTGGTAAGTGTGCAGGCAAATACAGCTAATAACATCTGCAGAAGTGCAAAAAGTGAAGTGTTTTCGATGAACGAGCAATAAAATCAAGTTACCCTTTCATTCAGGGAGCACTGCAGTACAGCCTTTAACCAGGCAGCTGTGCACCGTTGGTGCCGCTGACACTGCACAGGCTGTCAGCCCTGGCTCCAAGACTGACACCGAGCCTCACTGTTTTTTGTCCCAGTACGGTGAGCAACTCACATTTCTACCCATATCATCAGCTTTTGCAATTGGTATTTTTATACATGGTTGTGTTAAAGATCGTAGTTGAAAGACTTAGAAAAAGCCAGAATTCAGTACCTGAAGAAACTATTTTCCCAAAAGCAACAGAAGGTGTCACTGCTAACTGGTTTTAAGCTAATGAATCCCACAAGGGGAAGACACTGCCTTTGTTTCTTTAAAAAAAAAAAAAAAAAGTTGAGAGAGGAGAAAAGGAAAAAGAAAAAAGAAAGAAAAAAGACCGTTTTACACCATCAATTCCTCATTTCCAACAAAACAAAGAAAACCGAATCTCTAAGTAGTTTCCAACCACAAAGGCTTTCTGTAGGCTGCCTTTGAGCCTGGATAGTGACTTTCAGCCTCTCTAAACCTGCAGTATTTTGCTATACAGTTAACATACACGAGCTCTCACCCCCTTGCCTACCTCCACGTTACAGCGTCGCTATTCTGTGTTCAACAGCTGCTACCTCCCATGCCAGAGACACCTGCACAGCACCGACGATGATGCTTTGTTGTGTGTTTTTTTTCCCTAAACGTACACCTATGTTTTTAAGCACCATAGCGCCTCGGCGCAGCGCCCGAGCAAAGCCAGCCCTGCGCCCACCGCCCCGGGAGGCGAAGCAGCGCCAGGGCTGCAACTCAAACAAATTCAGAGGTGAACACAACTGCGGCTTTCGGCCGTCCCGTTCCGCAGGGGCTCCCCAGCGCTCCGTGCCCTCACAGAACGCATCCCCCGCCGAGCGGGAGGCACCTGAGGTCACCTGCATTATTCAGCAGGGCTGTGCGGCAGCACCAGGGGGCCGTGCTACTGCCGAGCTCGGGTCCGGGGGCCGTTCCTATTCCTTCAGCACGCGGGGCGGAGTCGCTCCGCTTTCCCCGCAGAGGCAGAAACACTCGTGGGCAGCGGGGCGGCCCGGCGGGAGGGACGGGGACGGGACGGGGACCGGCGCGGCGCCCCGCAGCGGCTCAGCGCTCGCCCTAACGCAGCTCTCTCTGTCTCTCTTCCCCCCCCCCTCCCCGCCTCCATCTTCCTCTCCCTCCCGCTCCCCATTCATTCTTCCCCTTACCTCCGCCTCCCTCCCCCTTGCAGGCGGAGCGGGCCCGGCAGGAGGCGGAGCGGGCCGCCGCACGTCCCCCAGCCGCTCGGCCGGCCCCCCCGCCATGGGTCGGAAGCGCTGCGTGGGGGGAGACGGCTCCAAGATGGCGGCGGGTTGCTGCGGGGTGAAGAAGCAGAAACTCTCCAGTTCCCCTCCGTCGGGCTCGGCCGGCCCGGGAGGCGGCGGCGGCGGCTCCCACTGCGGCGGGGCGGCGGCGGCGGGCGGCGAGCCGGGGGCGTTGCCCCCGCCGGGGGGCCCCCGCCTCAACGGCCTCGGGGGGCTGGCGGGGGGCGCCGCCGGCTGCGCCCTGGCCCCGCCGCTGCCGCCCAGCTGCGGCGGGGGCCCCGCCGGCCTCTCCCCGCCGGCCGCCTCGCTGCTCGCCTCCCCCGGCGCCGGCTCCGGCGGGCCCGGCTGCAGGAAGATGGTGGTGTCGGCCGAGATGTGCTGCTTCTGCTTCGATGTGCTCTACTGTCACCTGTACGGCTACCAGCCCCCGCGGAGCCCCCGCTTCACCAATGACCCCTAGTGAGTATCGCCCGACCCCGCGCCTCCCGGCCCCTCGCGGGCGCCT